TTCCGAGCCGGAAGCATTGCTGCCGACAACAACAGTGTTCCGCTCCTGGCTCAGTTTCCCTCCGTGGCACGTGTTCCAGAACAGGCAAGCATCTTCTCTGGCAGTAGCTTATAAAAAAGCCTGGTTTCGTTGAGATTGGAGGTATCGTCCGCTGAATAGCGCCGAAGCAGCTCCAGTTCGCTACTAGTTTGTTATCCACAGCACCACTTTCCCCGCACATTTTTTTGAAAGCGAGGTCGTACTACTTCTTAAAGCTCTGGAGCCAGCCATCACTGAACTTGAATCCATCGATGCCAAGTCGAAGAGCCAAGGTCTCAGCCTTTTGCTTTAATAGGTAGCCAGAAACGGGAAGACGTTGAGTGACGGTAGCGTTCAACCAGATGCTCAACGCTTACTTCCAACTGCAGATGAAAACCTTCCCACACCCTCTTTTGTTCATTTCCGCGTGATTTCTCCAGTGCGACCAAAATTTTGTCCTTATTTTTCATGTAATCTGATATGGTTTGCTTTGAGATGTGGAATTCTCGGGCGACTTCGACTTACAGGCGACCACATTGCACTTGTTCAATGATGGCTGCCTTCTTCGCCACGGTTAGCGTGTATTTGCCGTGCTTCGACGTTGTTGGCCCAGCCCTCGCCACCAGCTGTGAGGGCACCGTTGGTACCATTTCATGCAGATATCTTGAGACAGTGGAGCAAGCAGAGGGCTGCGAAGTCTCAAACTAAAAAAATGAATGAGCAGAACATGGCAGAACGCTGTATGGCAAGGCTTACACGAACGACGAAATGACTCGCGCAACGTGGACGAACCGGAACCGGCTGGTCGCGATGACGATGCGAGGCCACAGTTGTACAGTGCCTCTGAGATCAACATTTTCAATTGAAAATCTCTGAAATGACTCGCGCAACGTGGACGAACCGGAACCGGCTGGTCGCGATGACGATGCGAGCCCACAGTTGTACAGTGCCTCTGAGATCAACATTTTCAATTGAAAATCTCTGAGGCATGAAGTCGCAATCGACATATAGCCTCATAAATCAATAGTTTTGGTTTTGAGTATGTAGTTTTGGATCTCTGAGGCCATCTTTGTATTGTCTGAAGATAATGGTGGCCGATTCAGTGTGCGCGACTCTCTCGGACAGGGTCCGGATTATCGAATGTGGAGCTGGCGGCTGTCCGAAATATCCATTGTCTTTACACATTACTTCTACAGGGACACTGGCGGTCCTGCACGGCAGTCCGGATTACCAAGCATGTCCGAATTATCGGTGTCCGATTTATCAGTCGGGGACTGTATTGCCTTGCCTTACCCTTGCGGCGAAACTGTGACTTTTTGAATATGAGAAATGGGATTTGCTGTTTGCACAGCAAGTCTTTCTTGAGTTGCGTGTCAACCCCCCCCCCTGGCCCTCTTTTTTTTTCCAGCCTTCCCGTTGACGTGTGGAAGGCTGCAGTGACACAGTGACACAGTGACACACACAAAAGAGTATACATCACCGAACACATAGGTGACAATGACTACAAGGCCACTGCATACGAGTGTTAAAGGGACATTCTACTGCCCTTCACTGCTTTTCTTTGTTTTGTGCCACAATAAAAAGCGTATCATCTGAAATGCCTAAACTTGAAGTGGTTTCTCTGGAAAGTGTCTAGAAATTTTTAAAACAGAATTTTTCTATCTGCAGTCTCCTTCCATCAATGGGATGAGTGTCCACAACACTGGTCGGTCGAGGCGATGGCAATTGTACAGCCAGTGAAAGTGGAAACCTGAAACCATGTGCGTTTTTTGCCGGCTCCATCAAGTTTTGTTTATTAACACAACTAATACCTTAGTGGTCATTCAAAGGACCCGTGAACCACCCAAAGTTCGAAATTCAATTGTGGTGGGTAAATTGTGCACGAGTGCACAACGAACACGGAGGCATGAGAATTTTTCGAAACAGTGCAGTATGTGGATATCTAAGACGTGCCCGCGACCATTTCGCGGGCATTCCGCCGTACGGCCATGCCTTTCCTTTCCCATGCTCCAGTAATGGCGCGTAGACGCGCGGGCGCGACCCGTGTTTTCGGGGGCTGCGAGAATCAGCAACGCCGAGTCACGTGCGCACCGAAAATGGTCTCTCCTCCATTGACCAGCGCCCAGTAAGCACATAGTTTTCCTTCGTCCGCGTCTCCTTTGGGAATCACCGCACTGTAGCCTGCCCGAGTGCCTAGGTATCCCCAGCGGGAGTGTTAGCTTCGGTACCATACACTAAGCCAACAGCAGTGCCTAGTGCTTGAAGTGGTGCACCACGCTATTACAACCGTCATCATTATTGAAGTTTTTCGGCCTTTGTGAACGGGACAAAAATATTTCGACGCATTCCAAGCAAGGGTGTGCCATAAAGACGGGTTGATTTCCTCTAGGCAAAACTTGAACGAGGGGTTCGGGACTGGTTCGCGCAAAGAAAACGCACGAGCCAAGAGAGGCCATTGTGAGCTCGACCCAAGAAAGGGAGCAAGGTTTTCAAGGCAGACAAGGAGGCAGCTGGGCCCTTTTTGAGGTCACCGAGGATCTGGAAATCTCGGAACCAGCATGGTATTTGCAGTTCAGGCTGAAAGCTAAATCCAAACTGGCTGTGGCTGCACCTTGCGAGGAGAAGCGGAGCCCCGGATATTCGCAGCTAAGCCACAGCTTCTAGCAAACGACGAGGAATGGAATGTGGGGTTGAAGGAAAGAAAAAGGCACTATCTGCTGTTGCACTTGCGGGAGCCTGCCTCGATGACGAGGAATTAGTCGACCAGTCTTCCTTCCCCCTTTTCCCATAGGATCGGCTGAATGGGGTAGCATATTTTGACGATATGCTGGCACACCACTACATTGTCCTACCCAAATACAGTCAGGAAAGTTTGACACGTGTACTGGCAGCCGGTTTTTCGAACCTCACCCAACTGCCAGAAGAGTCTTGGAAACCAAGGTCATCTAAGATCATCGTACGTGCGCAAAACTTGGGGACGTGTGCGAAACGTCGGTGCAGTGCGTTTGTGACCATATTTGGGCATCGTGTAGACTGCGCCCTCTCCACACGCATTGTGTGGTGTCTTTCCCCTCCTTCAAGAGTGGAGCACCTAGACCATGGAGCATCGTATTAGCTAAAGCCGCAGACAATGCGCCCAAGGCTGGCAACGAGGCGCTATATAAGCGGAAGACTTTGGTATATTTGAAGTTCTACAGTTCAACAGTTCTCATGTCTGAGCGCACGCGGAGCGGTGCGCTACACGTGAGTAGGTGACGAAGACGTGGCCCTGTGGCTCGCTAAGCCTGAACCCGCGGTGATAATCCACTACGGTGAGTAGCGAGGTCACTACAAGTAATAGCGAAGTTAGATGCGCTTGATTATCGAAACGCTGCCAACCCCATCTTTCGCTCTCTCCTGCTTTTCCCTCGGCTGGTATTCTCTCCCACACCACTTTGCTCTCGCCGAGCGCCCCTCCCATGCCCCTCCCAATCTCGCATGGCATACAGCATCGCTGAAGCGCTGCTTGACACACTCTACTTCAGGTTGCTGTCACTCTGGCCGTCAACTACCCTCAGTTGCGTTGTAGCTGCGTGCTTATTAGCGAACAGTGGCTGTCGTAATCGTGCCGGTATGGACCCTGCGGTGCGCGCACGCCTTGAAAGGATCACCAACTCAATGGACCCATACGAGGACACGCCGTGCCCGGCACGTGTTGCACGCACGCAGGCAACACAACGAACCACAGCAGCTGCTTGCAAACTGATCAGAAGTCGTAGGCTCTTGCTCGACCAATCGCAGCATATTTGGCTCGGCGCGTCGGAGACTTGGCACGGCACTTCATGCAGAGGCCTGAAAGACCCGGAAAGAAGAAGGGATTGTTTCTTGGAATTCACGGCGAATAGGCGGCTCGTAGCGCTGCCACGTGTAGAATCGTTGATCGCGACTGCATTCTGCACATGATGCATGCGCTTACTTAAAATGCTTTAAAAAATATCAGAGGCAGCTTACAGGCCCCTTAAGGCGAGCACATAGCCCGCTCTCACGTTTCTCCACCATTTGCAGTCAGGCATACAGGCAAGCAAACACATCGCCGGCAGCACCACCGTGTGCCTCATTGAACACGTGAAAAAAAAAAAAACTACCCTAAATGAGTTTCTACCACAACCTAAAGCTGCCTCATGTGCATAAAATACAATCTTAAGTTACACGTGTTTGTTTTTAAGGAGAATAATCTACCTGCATGGATTTCTCATGCTTCTAGTAGATTCACCACATTGCTTTAGGCAATACTAGCGGTCATTTTTTGTTTGCTTTCAACATCCAGTTAAAATTATACTTCCTTGTTTGTGGGACAAAAGCATGCTCACTGCCACCGATGTGATGAACGATCTTTTAATTTGCGATGCAACCAGAGAACTGAATTAGGCTGAAATACGTGGCACAAGGTTGACAAAGAGAAAAAAAGACGAGACAGAAAGAGCGCGATTGTAATCCTGAGCCTGAGTAGAAGGTAAAACAGACGTATTTCAGAAGCATGAAATACGTCTGTTTTACATTGTGCCCAGTGTTGTCCTCTTTGCCTTCCGTACCTCGACTTTCGTCTGTTTCTTCTAGCACATTCGTGCTCGCGCTGCAACCCTTATTATCATGGAGACGTATTTCAGCCTAATATCTACCAACTAGCCCACCACAACGCACTGTTAAACCAGAGAAGTTTTTTCCGAGCGGTAGATAGTCCCTTTAACCTAAGTTTTCAAAAACTCAGCATGCAAAAGGCATAAAGCACTGCTACTTCTACTGTAGGGAGTGACGACACCTGGCAAACTGATGCTAATGCATTGACTTGCAAGGTGCTTTGATTCATCTATAACGCACAATGACAGTATGCTAAAGTGACAAATAACCCCAACCTAAAGGCACACTACCACTCATTGTGTGGTGCCTTCAGAGGCCTGTGCGTCAGCTACATCGCCAAGTATAACAATGAAGGCATGAGTTACCCGGAACACGGCAAAGTCCTCCATGGGTGTGATAGATGAACCATTTCCATGCTTCCAAAGCAGCTGAAAGATTCCAGATTCTCTGTCGAGCCAGCGAAGCCGCTCGCCAAATGTGCCCAGCTCCAAGTGTCGGAACAGAAACAGGAAAAGCTTGCCCGTGAAACGCCTGGGCATCTGCTGGCCGTCAAGGACTAAAGTTCACACCTGTGGTCAGATGTTTGTTTCATGGTCAAAAGAAGCAATGAAAAACACACTTTCATGAATGCTTTCGCTTAAGTCAGCTTACAATAGGCTCCCTCTAAACTGATCTTCGTTAGCGATTCTTAAAAAAGTAATTGTAAAATAACAATCCTATTAAATTTCCTTTAAAAGGACCTTGCAACACTTTATCAGCATGATCAGAAAATAATGCCAATTGGTTGTTAAAGCTCCTGAGAACATGTGAGCCAAACAGTACAGCGCCGCACTGATGCCAAGAATTTACAATTCTTTTTTAAAGTCAGGCCAGGCACCGTTCCCTCTTCTCTTGAAAATTGATGTCAAAAACCCAAAATGACCAGATTATAAGCCCAAAGTCTCCGGCCATTGGCTGATTTGAGCATTGTCAACCGCCGCTTCCATGGGATGCTGTAACATGATTCCATTCGGGCTCACGATTCCACTGAAAGTAAACTGCCCGAATGAAGAAAAAGCGTTCAAGGTCATGACACACACTCCCATAGTGCTGCAGTAGCATCTTGTCCCCTTGTCATAACGTTGTGCTGCTATAGCAGAACTCAGTTTGAGCATGAAGGAAAGAAATCGTTTCTGTCTTTGATGCTCAAACTGCGCTGCGCTATAGCAGTACAACATCAAAATGCACCAACCTGCCCAATCTGTGGTACTTGAGCCCTTGTCATTATTGCCCCCCATCCTGCATAACTTTCGCTGGCATGAAAGTACAGAGAAAGTGCTTAAAGTGCGAGACGATGAACTGCTTTCAAGAAGGCATTCAATTTTAACATGAAAAAGCATTGCAGGGCTCTTTTTACCACCAAAAAACTCAGCTGTGAATGTCTGTACGCCACGACATCAGTTGTCATAACGAAATAGTGAACCATGAAAACAAAAGCACATTTCGTGGGCAAGCCCTTTCTAGCCTTCAAGGAGCTGACTGCCACTTCTTCAGAAGACTACAGTGAATATACATAAAATCGCATGTACACTGCTATAATACTACAGCATTTGAAACAGCATGCCAATATGTGATTACTTCATTTTTGCTTCAAGCACTACCGCTGGTAGCAATAAGCTGCTCTGCTAAAGAACCAACACTGTGTTTAGACGTCACAAATTCGTAAAAAGCCACAGATATTGAAGTCTGTCCCACATACACTTCAGTCAACAGAACGGACAACAGAAGCTACTTGAAAACGCACGTGCAAAAGGCTACAAATAAGAAGGGTCAATGCTATCGATATTTCACCATTTACCGAAACCAATAAAAGTACTGTATTTCATCCATGTGGTGATAACCTTGCTGGGCAGCTAAGGAAACTGCTCTATCAAAAATGCTTAAACAATCAAAATATAGGACATGTTCATGGACAATGATAACTGACACTTTGATAAAGAAGGCTTGTTAAAGCCTCCTTTATCAAAGTGTAGCTGGCACTTAAGGGTAGCTGGCACTTAAAATCCAAGCCAGAACTAGACAAATTGTCAACGCCCTTTCCCAGCCTCAAAACAACCCAACCTATTCAGTCATGAAGTAGTGAAGCAGAAGTGCGACGATAATAATTACTATAAGGCACCATGTACTTCATTCATGCTTAACTAGGCTCCATTAAATTTCAAATATACACCAGATACTGAAATGATTTGCTGCAGACCTCTTTGTAACAGGCATACATTAAGGGTACAAGCTGGACATGTTGAAAAAAATTGAGTACATCGCAAAAGTAGCATGACAACACTGGGCAGCCATTTCTATGCTCCATCTCAGAAGTTCATTTCAGTACTGTGAAGGCTGCAAGGCCCCTTAGCCAATAGGAAGGGTGTACAGCGTACAGCGCCATCTGTAAACGACCCCATACGGCATTAGGCCAACTGTCATACGGCTTACAACATTAGGCCAAATGTACAGCGCCACCTGTCAACGACCCTGTAAGTCATACCTGCCAGGTTTGCAGTACAGGCACTAGGCGCTGTCGTCTTGTCTACCAAAAAATTATTAAGGTATGCTGCTTCTCTTGGCACTGACGGTTGCTGGCATGATACTTCCGACGACACGTGAATAGCCAAGTCTGTTCTAACACTGTGCAAAATACCGATGTCCTAATTGCAAACAATGCAGAGTGCATGATGCGCACTTTTCCACAATGCCACAATTCAGCCATACTCTGCAGTATACTGCCTTAAAAAACTTGAGAAACACACTACACCACGCACGCACCTCAGTGCAGAAGCAAACAAAAAATTTAAAAAATTCTTGATGAGCCCATGGAGTTAGCCTAGTGTTTACTGAAACAAATGCGAGCAAAAGTGGGAGAAACTGCAGGAAGAATCAGACCTTTTCAGACTTTTGCGCCATGCTACCGTTACCCCAGGCCTTTTTGTGGGCCCTCTCCTTGTGCACAGATAAAAGCAACAGTGACGCTGCATTCGTAGCAATCACTCTACTAGGAGCTCCAATTTGATTTTGGTACTTGACTGGCTACGCTTTTTAGACACTTCACTGTTCACAATGTCAATCAGCGTAACACAATAACATTAGATCTAATTTTCGTGCAGCTCCAGCACTGTGTGGCCAGACTAGAAGAAAGATTTCGCCATACACAGGTGCGTTTTTTGGGATTTCTATTCCGGTCGTAGAATGGTGCAAAACCATAAAAATTCCGGAGTCTCCTGGACATTTCAAGACCTGGCGGTTATGCTGTAAGCTGAATCCGCCATGTTTTGTTGGGTATGAAAACAAAACCACTCTAATGCTGCAGCCTCTACGGTGCTCGCTGCTGTTTATCTTCAATCCACAATGACTTCCCAATGCGTCATGCACTTTCGAGGCAACGAGGAAGCGCTGACAATGGCGGAAAAAATATAGGACCAATTTTATTAATACATTTGTTTTACATAAACGACGAAAAGATCATACCAACGCTCACTTCTTTTGTCTACAAGATTGGCACTGTGTTTATGTTCAGAAATGACCGCCGTGTTATTTAATAACCTCGACCTCCATAAAATTTAAGTGCTTGGCTGCAACATAGCTAGACTTACAGAACTATATGTTACGATATATGCATTTAAGAGGGGACAGCCAATATCACACATGCGGAAGAGAGGAAGGTCAATGAAAGCAAGGACTTAATTGATTTCAATCATCACGTTTGTGTCATCTCATATCAGTCTCAGCAGTGTTTCCTCATTCAAAAGTACTACGTAACAACCAGCCCAATTCGAAATGCTTATACTTAATTAAACGTGCCACAGATGCTGGTACGTGCGTGCGTGGTAAATAAGTACCTCCACACGAGACCCGATCACCAAAATTCACGCAACCACTGCTTTGCAAACTTCGCAATGCAAAGTGCACGGAAGCAGGTAGTCTGCACAGCGCATCTGCCTTCCGCTTTTTTTTTTCTTCAGCTACGTTCGGTTAGAGTGCGCTGTGAACTTTGAACACCCAGTTACGAAGCCGTACTATAGGTGGAGCTATTTGTCCAGTAGATAAAGTAGATCATCGTACTCATCTTTCCGCTGATCGCAGGAACATGTATGCTGTTCACAATTGTGCACAGTGTGTGATAATGCACGCCTTCATGGCATGCGAAAGCAAAGAGCACAATGTTTTTTAAAACAAGTCGATCAGCACATGTGAACAGTGTTAAAGAAAAACAGAACGGCAACACTAAATCCATGCGATAGATTACGACCTGAAGACGTTATAAACAACCATGTGTATTAAAAGAACATACTCGGGATGCTCTCTCCATATACCGTCGAAACACGCAATTATTCTTTAGTTTGGTTCGTCGCGCCCTGCTCTTGCACCAATCTATGCCTTGTTTATTTAAAAAAACTACAACACGCGCTATTGCAAAGGGTGTGGAGATACCTGTGTCTAAAAATTTGCTGATGAATGTAGCACAACGTTGTACAGGTCGCGCATAAGAAACGTGGTTTTTATATATGACGCGTGTTGCTATTACCGCAGTGTCCAATACAATGGAGATGTATTACTGCGCAAGGTAATCCTAAAGGTTTGAGAGTCGCATATCCTCTGCAATAGACACTTTTTCTGAACGCCTATCTCAGATCGGAAACACATGGCACTAGGGAATGGGCTTTGAGAAGTGATGCACCTCGTGCAGCTACTGGCCGGATGGGTTTTCAAGCACGTATACCTCCAATTTTGCGTTCTCGACAATTTCTGGCAACACAGCGACGCTCACTGACCATTTGGAGCTAGATAAAATAAAAAACTATACTTTTTCACTTCTTCAAAGGGCCCCTCCAGCAGGCCCCATAACAAATTCTAATTAGACGCTGGTAGTTGTGTTCGAAGAAGAGCATCATACCACCAGAATTTTTTTTAATCGACTCATTACGAGTTGAGAAAAGCCATATTTTAAAGCGACGCGAAGCCATGATGAGAAGAGGTGAGACTGAAACCCTTGCCGCTCGCTCCGCGTAGCCTGTGCAAGCCAATTCTCTTGCCTATCCTCTCCGGCACCTAAACAGGTGGCCACGTATGCACCCTGTCCCCGAGCAAGCCCAACTCCCGAGGTCTCGAGCGATGTTTTCTTGACCAACGTTATATTGTGGTCTACTGCCTGTTTCTGTGGGAACGATGCCTCAATGCACGCTCGTTTGGAAACATTGGCTAAGACGCGATAGAACAGATGAGCTAAATGAGTGCTTGAACGTGCAGGAGCATTAACTTCGTTTCCAGGGCTGGCGTTTGCTCGATGCGCTAACCATGGGGACAGGAACGCATGCGAAACGCAGGCACATTAGCCCCGCATTTTGTTACAATTTACGAGAAAAAAAAAAAGAACTAAAACTAAAAAGGCCTGCACATTTGCTTTGTGTGTCTGATTATTTATCTCTGTTTTATTTATATATTCAAGTAACAAATTATGCAAACTACACATGTCTGAAATAATTTTTGCCCTGTCACGTGCTACTGTTGGCGATGTCAGAGTACACTCGTCTATGCACACTCGTCGCAGCACTACCGTCCACGTAGGGCAGTTCCTACTTTGTCTACCCTCATTCTCTGGGCGCGCACCCGCAATAGGAAGGGCAAGCAGCGTTCATCTTGAAATTGGACCCATTTCCGTGGCACACGGCGTTGCAAGTTTTTGCAGACGCGATCATGAACGCCCCATGTAAACATTGCTGTTGTCAGCTCAAAATTGCCAAACCTAGCGAGTGGCTCTTTAATGACAGCGGCTCAGCCTCTCCTTAAAGAGATGCTAGTGGATGATTTTCCAACTGTGCCCAGCAAGAAATACTAGACATGCCCAGTGTTGCCAGAGCACTGAACATTATGAATATTTTCTATTCCAGAAGAAAACAATGAAGAAACAGGGTAACCCTTGCTGCTGACCAATCATGAATTTTTAAACATAATTCCTAACATGAGCCAAGCGTATACCCGGAAGAAGGACAGAGCCGCAGGATCAAACAACTGTCCTTCGAACGTTTGTAGCGAGAACATGGGTTATAAACAATGCTTTTGAGTGGTCTCATAAGAGGTGCCCAGTACGCATCTACCACGCAAGTGTAGCCATGTCATTCCATTTCCTGTAAGGATAAATACGCCACATTCCTGCGAACAAACTAACCTTCACATGGCCACAGGTCTGTAATGCAAGCTATCCGAGCTGTAGCCAATTACGTCGGCCTACGTACTGCACATGATTAGAAAAAATATTGATGCTCGTTACCCGAGACCACCCTGCTTATATGCGTTCATTCAAGGTGCACTGTGCCCCCCACATACTGCACATGATTAGAAAGACGCTCGTTACCCGAGACCACCCTGCTTACATGCGTTCATTCAAGGTGCACTGTGCCCCCCACTGAAAAAACTATCTCAGCTCTATCCTGGCCCAACATGCATGGCTCACCTATGATCCAAGCTTGCTCAACAAGGTTTGGCCGCGGGTGAATTTCGTTAATAGCCTCACATGGGCCGACCTCTGGCTGCGAACACTGGCCCGAGGTCGACTTTGTAGATGGCCAGTGGTGCACAGATGGATTGAATAACCTTGTGCAAATAATACACTGAAGGCAATGCCGAACCCTCAAACAAGAAATTTTCGCTGACCGAAAAACTAACGCGCGGTGTACAGCAACCAATTGCGGCCACTTACAAATATCATGCAATGATAGTAACTGGCCAACGTGGTAGCTAGCAAAACATGGCCCTAAAACGGACCACGTCTGGTCGCCCCGGCATTAGGTGCCGACAATTTCCCTATCATTTGCCGACCGTTGGCTGAACGTCTCCGGCCTTCTAATAACCAGCGAAATTGGTTGCCAGTCAGGACCCAACTGTGAGCCACCAAAGGTAAGCCGACAACAGCGGCCGTCGGCAAACTCCATTTGGGGCTGCAAGGTCGTCCCGAGTGGAACAGAATTGGCGCCGTGACTGCAAATGAAAAACGACAATGTAGCCCATTCAGCTCACGCTTAACTGCACAACAATGCGTATTCAGCCGAAGACGCATTGTTGACAGAACCTGTGTCGGCGCACACGCCCAAAAGCATGTAAAACTAATGAAGCGCTCGTGTTGTCAAATCTTCCTTTGTGCTTCGTCTTTTGCGCTGTTCCACTAAGCAACTAATGATTTTTTTTTTTTTTGCCATGAAATCGGTGACCATTCCGTACAAGCCTCACTTTGCAGTCACACGAGCTCTCATCACTTTCACACCACCGCAGTGCAGCCATGCTTATCAGGCTTGTGAAAACACCAGTCGATCCCGTATCATTAACAGCCACCACGTGACCCATTACACATGCGGCCTTCCTGCAGTGATGTTCACATAACGTTACCTTTGTGGTGTCGTTAAGTGAGAGCACAGCAGCAAATTGCCACGGCACGACCTTTGCCACTCAATATTGATGCAAGATGGACTTACTTTCAAGGCGAGAGCGATTCGCTCTTTTCTTTGAAGGATATATTTCTGTGGGCGAAGATGTTATAGCCACATGCGAAATGTTCATTTGAGCCGAGCCAGCCCAGCTGGTTCGTTTCATAGAGTTTTCTAAAATTATCTAGAGGGGACTCTGTCACTGCGATGGTTCAGCGACAATAGTTATAGCGCGAGAGCAGAACGACGACAAAGAGACAAGAAGGACACCATGGGAATGAGACCGCCGTTGCTGCGACCTGGTGAGAATAGACGGCATGCTATTATTCACCCGGTCAAAACAACGCCTCCTCTAGAAAGATGCCTGCCGCATAAGATAAAATACAGCTGCCACACCCTTTCTCTCCTTCATTTCAAAATGATGATGATTAAAGGCCTCCCCTTTGAATCGGGGTGATGGCATGCGCCATCTAGCCTACCTTAATAGTTCGAGTTTAAATTCTGTCCCTCAACTCGGATGTCTTTTTAATTTTGCCCAGCCGCTACTCTTGGCTGGGATGTTATTTTATCGACTTCTCTGCTTTTCCTCCACCAATATTCCAGCCGCTGCTTAGTAATACCTACTGCTTACCAGTTAATGCTTCCATCAACCGCGAAGCCCAGCGCCTCAGGAAGTGTGACCTTCCCCCCATTTCTATCCGGCTGAATCTTTTGGCATTCCATGACTATGTGGTCGATTGTTTCTTTATTTATGCCACATCCAACACATGTCTCATTCTGTGACGAATATTTGCTCCTGTAAGTTAGAGTTCTCAAGCAGCCAGCCCGCGCCTCAAAGAGCAACGCACTACCTTTATTGTTGTCATAAAAGTTCTCTTTCCGGATCTCTTGTTTGCCTGCCCTGTAGATTCCCAGCGATCCCTTCTTTTTCATCCTCTCTTTCCACATGAGCGTCTCTGTTTCCCTCACTTGCTTTTTAACTGGCCCCCTTTGCTTATTTGCCGCGGTCAAGTTATATTTAGTCGCCAGCTTTCGCGTCCTCTTCCGCCATTGGGTGTCCACACTTTTCAGGTACAGGTATCTGTGCACTCTGGCTGCCCAGTTCTTCTCATCTAAATGTCTAAGTCGCTCCTCAAACCGTATTTTACTTTGTGCTTCTCTCGCCTTAAATGAAGCCCAACCCATATCGCCTTGTACAGCCTCGTTTGTAGTCTTACTGTGAGCTCCCAGAGCTAACCTGCCGACTGCCTTTTGGTTAACCTCCAGCCCCGACAGGATATCTGACTTTAAGCATAATACGGCATTAGAGAACGTGAGCGCCGGCACCATTACCCCTTTCCAGATGCCTCGTACTACCTCGTACTTATTGTGTCCCCAAAGTGCTCTATGTTTCATTACTGCTGCATTTCGTCTCCCTTTCAGTCTGAGGTGTTCTTCATGAGCATTCAGGTAGCCTTTTCCTTCATTAAGCCAGGTCCCCAAGTATTTGTACTTATTTACTAATGGTATGGCTTCCTGTTGTATCCTTATTGGTGCTACATGAGCTTCCTCGTTGAACACCATGACTCCAGATTTCTCTGGGTTAAAATGTAGGCCTAGGTACGTTGCCTCATCACCACAAATGTCAGCCAGTTTTTGAAGTTCTTCCGCATTATCCGCCAGCATCTTGATTGATGTACGCACTATATCGTCTGCGTACATCAATCCCGGAATCCGTTGCTCCACTAACACTCCATATCTCTTGGTTTGCGTGACAAATCAAAGCCCAATCCACTCTCCTCTAGTCGTCTTTCCATTCCTCTAATGTACAGTGTGAACAGCAATGGCGAAAGAGGGCACCCCTGTTTTAAACCTCTTTGAATGTACACGGGCTCTGTGTATGTACGCCCTTCCCATGTAATGTGTGCCTTGTTATCCTCATATATTGCCCTTAGCAGCCCTACAAATTCCGACCCAATCCCCTCCTCTTCCAGTATATGCCACAGCAATCCCCTGTCCACGTTGTCATAGGCACCCTTTATGTCCAGAAACAGTAGCCATGTTGGTCTGCCCTGTACTGCCGAAATTTCGATGGTCTGGGTTATGACGAAAATATTGTCTTCCAAGCGTCGACCCGGCCTAAATCCGTTTTGCAGTTCCCCTAAAATACCGTTACTTTCAACCCACTTCAACAACTCGGCTTTGATGGCTTGTATAGCTAATCTATAGAGCACTGACGTGACTGTAATCGGCCTGTAAGAGCTCGCCTTGTCCCTTTCTCCCTTGCCTTTGTAGATCAAACTCATTCTACTTTCGCGCCAGTGCGCAGGAATCCTCTTGGATTTTATAGCGCGCTCGATGGCTCCATACAAGTGCGCCTGTCCCGCTGGTCTCAAATGGTTGATAATCTCTATCGGGATTCCATCCGGTCCTGTTGCCGTATTTTTGGGAACACTGTGTTCTGCCTTTTTCCAGTCCGAAAATTCGATATTAAATTTTTCATCTGCCACTCTTTTATTTGCCACCTGTGTCCAGTTAGCCTACCTCTCGCGTGCTTGGCCGAAAGTATTTCCTATGACTCCATGTAGGTATTCTAATGCGCTGTCCCCCAGGAGAACGTTACCGTCCCCGTCCTGTATCTGAGTCTGCATCTCTTTAGTCGTCGTTCCCAATGCTTTTAAATGGTTCCAGAATTTTTGGGGGGCGCTCTTATCCTTCTTACGTATGTCTGATACCCATTTCTCACTCGCAGCTTTAATCTTCGCTTGTACTAGTTTCTGCACCTCAAATTTCTTTTCTCGGTACCGGCTCCACCGTAACTGCACCTCATCATCCTGATATCCCATTTGCTTTGCTTTTCTGTGCAGTCTAGAGGCCCGTCGTCGCTCTTCAATAGCCAGTTTAATTTCCTTGTCCCACCAGCTTCGTGGTTTCCGTTTACCCCTCCAGCGGTTTTTTTTCTTACTTTGTTTATTTCCTTTTGTATACAACTAACAACCTCGTCATATTCCCACACCTTTGTTGGCTGTGCTTCTAATTCTCTTTCGATGCTATTGACGATGTCTGCTATCTGCTTTTCGCTTACTTTCGGGAGCCCAACCTCCTGTGTTTTCTTCCTAGCCCCACCACTGTCAAATTTCAGGATTATACGCCTGTGGTCGCTGCCCAGACTGTTTTCCCCTTCTTCATCTATCGTCATTTGGTTCAACCACTCGTACGTGTGCTCTGAGACCAGGCCGTAGTCTATGCAAGACTGTCTACTGCCGCTTTGCCACGTTATCTGCCCGTCGCATTTATGTTCCCGGTTAACTATTACCAGTTGCTGTTCTTCACACATATCGATAACCATTGCACCGTTATAGTCTGTATATCCATCTAGATCCTCAATGTGGGCATTTAAATCTCCTACTAATATCACCTCGCCAGAGTCTTTAAATTTTTTTATGTCCTTCCTGAGGCAGTCCACCCACTCTTTATTTTGTTCTCTGGCGTCATTCCCTGTCCACAGATAGGCCACTCCCAACCGTGTCTTTTTTCTCCCCACCATTCCACTAACCCATAAGTGCTCCTTACAGCCCTGATTTTCCCTCTGCCAATTCCCTCTTCGCCTAATCAACATGCCCACGCCTCCACCTTTCCTTTCTCCCGCTGCCCTGTTGCACCCCACCCATACGTAATCATCCATCACTGGTGGCTCCTCCATATCTCTCAGGTGGGTTTCGGTCAGGGCGTACACGTCAATTTCTTCTTTCTCGAGTTGGTTTTGTATCTCAATCCATTTTTCCTGCTTGCGGCCGCCGTGCATGTTTATATAACTAATTTTAATCCCCCGGTTTATTTTCCTTTTCTTTCCTTTGTGTTTCCGCCGCCGTGCATCAGTGCCCCCTCCTTCCTGCCTTTCACCACCCCCTCCACTCAGTCCGCCTTCTTCTTGAACATTTGGCCTCCCCCCAAAAAAGCCACCGCGCGGGCTGCCAATCGGTGCCCTACATGCTCAGCTAGACGGTTACTGAAGTGTATGCCGTCAGACACAAACGCCCTGTTGCGGCCTGCATGGACCAGGTTTCGGTTCAGGTTGACCACCTCGAACTTCATCGTTTTACCCAGAGTCCAAAGCTCCCTGTTTGCCGTAACCACCGCCCTTTCTACGTGGACTCCCTGTTTCTGCACCTCCGGCACCATGCAGACAGCAATCTGCACATCCTCCGAGGTCGCCCTCAGCTCAATGATCCCCTTCGCAATCTCCTTTGCGAACCCTCCCCCGATGGATGCATGGATGGATGGATGTGGCTGTACCCTTTAGATCGGGTGGCGGCTAACGCCACGTAGCAGTAATACTTAGTGAACTAACCACTACATTTATCTTTTTTTTTCCTTTAAATAATGAAGTTGAGGATTCGTACTTCGCAGTGAAAGGTTTAATTTTCACTCGTGCCTTGACTTTAGCCACAGGTCAGATAACCTCCTTCTAGTTAAGTCTACCCGCTTAAAGTCTATTTTGCCCTCGCTGTCCCTAAATCCCAGTGCTTTGAAAAACTCTGCGCCATCATCCTGAACTATAGGGTGAAGCCCTTTACAGAACATTATCAAGTGTTCGGCAGTTTCTTCTTCCTCTCCACACGCACTGCATACTGTGTTGACCCCTTCGTATTTGGCCCGATATGTCTTGGTTCGCAGTACTCCCGTCCTGGCATCAAACAGTAGGGAACTACCCCGAGTATTATCATAGATCCTTTCCTTGGCAATTTCCTGCTTAAAAGTTCGGTAGATCTCTAGTGCGGACTTCTTAATCATGCCCATTCTCCACATGTCAGTCTCCGTTTCCTTCACTTTTTTCTTAACCGATAGTTCTTTTTGGTTTGGCCACCTGCTGTTTTCTAAGTATTTACCAGTCAACTTCCTGGTTCGCTTCCTCCATTTTGTATCGACATTCTTCATGTACAAGTAGCTGAAAACCTTCCTAGCCCAACGCTCTTCCCCCATTTCTCTCAATCGCTTCTCAAACTTTATCTTGCTGCTAGCTTCCCTGCCCTCAAATGATGTCCATCCCATATCACCTTGTACTCCCTGATTTGGTGTATTCCCGTGAGCTCCTAAAGCAAGCCTACCTATTCCACGTTGCTTAATTTCTAATCTTGCTTGAACTTCTGATCTCATGCACAAGACCGCATTGCCGAACGTCAGCCCAGGAACCATGACCCCTTTCCATATTCCTCTCACAACATCATACCTATTGTAATTCCACAGTGCCCTATTTTTCATGACTGCTGCATTCCTGTTACCTTTAGTCGTCACGTATATTTCGTGTTCCCTCAGGTACTCGGTCCCATTGCTTATTCAT